GGGCAAAGCGGGTGGGGTCATATTGTAAGCCTACAAAAAAATGTGACGTTCAATTTGGCTCGAAAAAGAGAATGATTAATGATTTGTGATTTGTTATAAATTAACATTGAACAAGGTTTAAAAGGCGTAGGATGGGGTTGGAAACGTCGGTGGGGGTGCGAGTGCATAAAGACCTGTGAGCTGTAGACGTACTAATACAAAAAACATAGAAAAATACCGAAACCCCCGCGTCTTAGGTCTTTTAGATGGAAAAATTGCAAGTGTCCCATAACTGTGACATGCCGTCCAATAACTGTCTCCAGCCGTCCAATAACTGTGTTTTTCGACCTCTGACTTTGAACCAACCTAAAGGGCGTAAGGCGTTGAATTCTTAGTCAAACTAGAGTGGTAACCTTTAGTTCGAACCTTCAACTAGCCCATGAGCCCATAGGTACGTCTCATCTTTAATCGAGAGATGCACAGCGCTGCTTCAAACGAAAGTGTGCGCTTAACCGTCCCATAACTGTATCACCTACCCTAGTTTCATTTGATTCGAATTAGGTGCACATGCGGTTCAGGCAATAATTCAAAGACCCCGTGGACTGGGGACCAAAATCTTGTTTGCTTCTAGAGCCAACTACTGCCAGTCTACAAGACGACAATATCAAAATCTTGATTCAAAGCTGATCCGAAACAGGTTCGTATGTCCGTATTTTGGGTCACGACCATGCTCAAACTGCGATATCTCCGAAACGAGTGCACTCACGGACACAACGAAAATGCGTTATTTTGTGGCACATCTAACCTTCTAGTCTGTCCCTACGGGATTGTTCTAAAACCTGTGGGCTTAGGTATATGCCAGGAATACCATAATTTGATCCGAAATAGGTTCAAGTCGCTCTATAATGTGAATTGCGTCACATTTCTTACAATAGACCTTTTGAGCAGACCGAACATCTCTATCCGGCAACGCTGCACCAACTGTGGCTCAAATCCAGATTACACTCTTCACCCTTTACCTGTTTTCGAGAAACGATTCCCGGATTTCAAAGAACTACACTAAATCTGGATTTGTGATAAATCAACCCGAAACCGTCGAGTGCGGAGTGAAATGAAGCTAGCATCTTTGTTGGGTGAAAGGGCGGCCTGTTGGTTGAATAGGCAAGAAGATATACCTGTTGAACCTGCAACGTTGTCTTCGCCGCTCTTAGCTGTGTGGCGACTATTAGGCAGAGCATTCGTAGCGTCTCGCTCATTGATATGGTGATCACAATGCATAGGAAACATGGGGCTGCTGCTGGGTACCCGGTGGCAGCCTGGAGCACCATGCCGAGCCAGACACCTAGCTCGCCATCGAACCAGGGCCACATTTCCAGAATGAGTTTACCCTGCAGGACGACGGGCAGCACCAGACTGATAGAGGCAGCAATGCCGTAAATGTGGGCGACTCCGTAGCCCTGGCGCGTGCGTTTAAACAGCTTGCTGGCCTCTACCTATAAATCAAACGCCACCTTATGTAAGAGCTAATAAATGGCACAGCCAAACACGCAACAATAGGGATAAAAAAAATGGGATTACAAAAGCGAATTATTTGGAAACTTGATCTTTATTTTATTTGACGAAAGTAAGCTGTACCTGTCAGGCTAGAAAGTCCGAGTGAGAAAGAGATGGTTGAAAATTTCTACCGCCGGTGCGGATGGAACCCGACATAGCGGGCTCCTTGTCCGCTTTTAACTGAAAAAGGCTCGGATATTGCACTTATTGACTCATCGTTTAAGCTTTGCACATTTGTTCAAGGGTCCACTCTGAACGATTTGGCTCGAGCAGCATTCCCTCTGGCCGTGCGGACACCGGTTAAAGGCAATTGTAGTGAAACTTTTCAAAATTCTGAATTATCTATTCGCAAATGTTCTATTTGTCCACATTGCCACGATTGGCATGGTCTAGAAGCGATTTCTCTCGAAATTGTATGTGCAGAACACGACAAAATTGTCGGATCTCGGAAAGCGTGTGTACATTTCGTGTTTAAGCAGAAAACGGGCGTGTTAATTTTCAGACTAGTGCAATTTCATACTAGTGGCTATACCTCCGTTGCAAGTGAGACAGACAGTCCGTCGATTTACTTCGTCGATTCGACCTCTATATGGTCCAGAAATCGACGTACTGTCGACGTCGATGTGTGGATGAAAAAAGCGCATATCAGAGTATTCGAACCCACGAACCCTCCCATCAAGCCTCCTGACCTGCTGTCCTATCCACTCCGATACCACACCACCTGCTGATATAAGGGATCTGTAACCATGACTTCCTACTATTCTACACCCCAGTATGTCGCTCGTGTATCGTATAAAGAGGATTTGCCTGGAGCAGACGATCGGGAAAGAAGAACAAGAATATCGGAAATAGAATGTAAAATTGGGGCGATGACCAATCCAGGGTGAGTGCCGCTAATGCATGCTTAGCACTGATTGGCTAGCGGCTCAATTTCTCATACCAGTGTTCGCTTCTTGTTCTCCTGCCCTAATGATCTGCTTCCAGGCAACTCCACGACTGGAATTCGTTAAAGTCGTAACTACTTACATGAAACGCTTTCTTAATATGTATAGTTTTGGCGAACAATGTTAATGTTGCTTTGACTGTGTATTTTTAAAATACGGTAGGGCATCGACGGGGAAGTACCAATGCTGCCTCAGCAACATAACCACGGATTACTCGTTGTCGCACCGTCATCATGCATTTTGGAGTGATGCATGCTTTGAACCAGGGGCTCGCAACGCAGTGCTGAGGCCGGGGCCCATGCG